CTGATGAATTTTGATACGAGAGACAGTGAAACCCTGCGTGAAGACTAAGAAGGTGCTACAAATTAACACCTAGTTTAATGCTATAAAGTTAGTAAATCTAGATATATAACTAGCAGGCAGGCAGTGCTCTGCTCTGCATATGGTAATATTGCATAAAATATGAGGAAGTAGTATCTTACTACACATCCATTTCTGTACCATACAATCTTGCATGTGGCCAAAGCATCTAACACAAGAAACATGGAAGCACTCCATATGTCAGAGGTAATGAAAGTACTGCTTAGAAGTGAACTCCTGATTGTTTTCAGTAGCTTGTGAAGCATTCTTTTAATACACCAGTGTACAAGGGCAAGCAGTAATGCTACTTCTCAGTAGAGCACAGTAACAAAAGAAAGCCTCAGAAGTGTTTGAAAAAGTATGTCAGGCACTGCAGGACACTGTTGTTCATTCTCAAGAAGAATAGCTTCTCCCTGTGGTATGTTCTTAAAACAGAATCTGGTAAGGCTTGTCTGGGCTCTATGTAACCAAGGCTGTGATTACCAGCAGCAAGGGCTGACTTCTGATTTCAGGACATTGCCTTGGACCATTGCCTAGCAATGCTCTGATGTTTAAAGGCCTGTTTTTCCTCACTTGCAAAGATGAATCAAATGGCTAATATTATCTTTGTTAGAAGAAGAAAAGATAACTCCAACAGGGTAAATAATTAGGATAACAGGAATAACTCCTAACCTACAAAGAAAATGTTTCATCTTGCACTCCAAAGGAGCAACAGAGTCCAGCTTTTTCCTCATCTTCTGGTGGTCTTTACTCCCAGTTTAGGATTTCTATCTGAGTGACTCAGTTGAGACTTGTAAACAGAAGAGGTCGTATGGCATAGTTTGATTTCTTTAGAATCATAGAATCCTTAGAATTGGAAGGGACCTTTAAAGATCACCTAGCCCAACTCCCCCACAATGAACAGGGTCGTGCACAGCTGGATCAGGTTGCCCAGGGTCTGATCCAGCCTCACCTTGAAAGTCTCCAAGGATGGGGCATCCATCACATCTGTGGACAACCTGTCCCAGTGCCTCACCACCCTCACTGTAAAAGACTTTTTCCTTTAAAAAAAAAATTGGGTTAATTCTATCACCAAATGAAGTGGTGCAAAAAGATTTATTAGCAATTAAGATCTGAGATGGAAAGTGCTTAGGGCAATGGGAAGAGATTTGCTGCTTTCTGAGCATTAAGTCTCCTTTAGATAGTGTGGCAGAAAAGCTAAGATATGGCTTGAATCAGTGATTGAGCACCTGGTGGAAAGGCAGGGCCAACCCAGAGGAACTCAGGTGCATGCAGTGCAATGCAATGCAGTGCAATCCCAGATTTCATTTAAGAGTTGGCAGTGGAGGCGAGGGTATCTTGTTGGAGATTCCTGTGCACCTAGCGCCTTCTGAAGGTAAGCATCTTCCTTTCTCTGTTTCTGTGCTCGTGGCTATTGCATTTGGGCAAGTCCTTACTTGCTACAACCTAAGGCTTTGCTGTTCTGCTGTGCTTTCCATTGTGTTAGAGTTCTTTTATTGTCTGAGCAGCTTACTGGATATATCTCCTTTGTCCTGAGACAAAGTGTGGCTTGTGAGTGATGAGGATCTCACTAAAGGAGATGTAAGGAGGCAGGGGAGGTGCTGAGTTTCTGGTTCTTGCAGAGAATTTTATTCCATTGTCATCCAAGCTTTCTTTGCACACAGGAGCAAATGGATAATATGAGAACAGATAAAGGTAGGCAGTGACTATCTGACTGCCTAAGAAGATATTCCAAAACACTTCAGCACTTTGAATCTGATGCTTTGAGTTGAGATACGAGACAGATGCCTTACAGTTTTCAAAGAGTGCAGGAGCTTCTGTGCGTCCACAACTTTGGAAATACTTCAGCAAATAAGTCAAAGAATCACAGAATATCCGGAGTTGAAAGTGGTAACTTCATGCAGTTGGTGATTGCCCAGCCCTCTGATTTGTCAAGATCTCTCTGTCAGCCCTTTCTACTCTTAAAGGAACTAACAACTCCTCCCAGTTTAGTTTCATCTGTAAACTTACTTAATGTGCATTTATATCTTGCATCCAAATAATTTATCAAATGTCGGGCCCCAAAATGAAGCCCTGATAGCGACTGGCCACCAGCTCAATGTGATTCCACTTACTATAAATATGTTCCTGTACTGCATGATGTCACTTTGTTTCCCTCAATTTTTTTTTTATTTTTATTTTTGTAATTGTAGAAGTCTCTCCACTGTTTGCTAAACTTTCTTGTTTTAACAGTGAGCAGCTGCTTGCCATTAGTCTTAAAGCAGACATCTTGGATGTTTCTTTAGTTAAATAGTTTTGTTTTCTTGTATCTGGTTTGTTTCAGGTGGGGTATTGTTTACTACTTTCTTCATACATTTCTCAGAAGTTTGAATTAAAATGACCTAAGAAAACTCAATTTACTCAGACTGCATGAAAGAATCAAGGTGCAGTGTAAGCCTTCAAGACTAAATCATGCACGATCTATAAGCGAACTGTGCATTCGTGTGGACATGACTTGAAGTTGTTTAGTGTTTTTAGGGTGGAAAATTTCCACTGAACTTTGGATCAAGTCTTTAGCAATTTCTAAGTCTTGAAAAATAAGGCTTGATGAAAGGTTACAAACACAGCAGACCAAGTGGCCAACTGGCAAATCTTCCAGAGTGCGTTCTCATAGCCAGAAGTAGTTAGTAGTAGTAGGCTTTCTAAATGTGTTTTCTTTGGCAGCTGGTACACATGAAAAACTTCTTGGCTATACCCAGAGAAGATTATTATATTAAATTCTTAAATTACTATTACACTGAATTCTTAATTGAGAATATTGGGAGTGTCAGTAATCAAAATTGCATCAAGGATGGAGTCGTTCTTGTGGGAAGCATATGGGTTTAGTTGAATGACCACAGAAGAAAACTTAAGTGTTTTAGTGAATGCTTTTTTGCATGCTTTATGGCACATAAGCAACCCTGAGAAGCCCGTGTAATTCACAGCTTGTTTATAGAAATCTTTATTTGTGTAACTGATCCTAATTTTTTTTTTTACCTCTGGTTAGCTCACCGTTTAAAATGACACCTTTAAAGACGTGGTGGATAGTTTAGTGATGTGTATGAGTCTTGCCTTGAACGCTTACTTTCTCAGCCTTCAATAAGAGAACTATGCAATGCTTACTTTGAGACCTACAGGGAATGCAGTGCATGTAAATCTAGGTGTTCATGACTTCAAACAACTGGCTAGATTGAAAGCGCCTATGAAGGTGTAATGGTGATTGCTAGCTTCTACTTATTTTGACAAAGTGAGCTAAAAATCTCCTCCATGGAAGACCCTGAAGCGTGCTAAAACTATGTGGAATCTTCTAAAGCTTAGCATAACTTCTTTGAAAGGAAACCCTATGTTTAGCAATGCAAAAGTAAACACATGTTTGATCAGGCTTAATGTAGCAAATTGATAACATTTTTCTAGAGGCAAAAGGGCTTCAGTATTTAAGACTGCAAAGATCCACATGTGGATTTCTTTATTCCTCTGAAGCTTGTACAAAAAAACTTCTAATCCTAAAAAAGGCTGTAAATATTGTTGCTACTCTCCCTGTTCTGAGACAGGAGGTGGATAAGGAACCCCTGCTAGTGTGTTGGTGGTTTGTACAGTGGGAATGGCCATGCAGAGCAAGCTGCCCTTTGTCATGTGGTGATTTTGCTTCTAGTGAGGAGTTGGCTGAGGTGAGCCTCTGGTGGATGGAGGCACAAACAGAGCAGGGTAGTTAACAGGACCAGGATGATCAGAAGCAGCATTAGCAAACTAGTGCTACTCCTACAGCTACAGCAGTATCTTGTTTGGAGTTTTGTGCTTTACAACATTCTCATGTTTCAGCATTGCAAAGTAATTCCTACAGTATGAGCTTGAAGATACTTCCTGTATCGTGAGGTTTAACAGACATGTCAGCAGTTAGCTTGAGAACACATTTAACTTGGGGTACAGTTCCAGTAACAAGCTGTACCAGGGCTGCTCCAAAAGTAATGCCTTCTATTTTTATCATGTCAACCCATGACAGCAGAGGAGGATGGTGGTGGTATGGTAGAAGTTGAACCTTCCCACCAATATCCTACTACATGTCATTGACGTGTGACAGATGGCAGCAGAGGGACAGTCTGACAAAATGGCATCTGATGTGGAAGGATATAGGAAGTGAAATGTGTGGAACAGAATTCCACTATGTGGAAACAATTGCAGCCATTTGGTCCAGAGTTCTTAGAATTGCTTGACAATCCCTGGATTTCTAGAATATAGAGCAACCCTATAGCAGTGAGGTAAAGGAGCCATAAGAAACCCAGAGTTAGTATCTAGCTGCCATGGCACATTGCCTAGGTGGGGAGCACTGTTATCCTAAAGTTCTACCAGCACTCGATCCATACACAGTGCAAAAAGTTGTGTTAAGATTAGTGGCAGAATCAGCTGTCTACTTTCAAACATCAGCAATTTTTGTCTAGTAATTCAGCTCTGATTGTGAAGATTGAGGATATTCTTCTTTGCCCTTAATTAGCAGTAGATCAGTATGCTTGTGTAAGCTCCTTAAGAGATTCACTGTTTAGCTTATTTTAATGCAGAGTGGAAATGGATATATATCTTTTGTTTGTTTACCTCAGAAATTAATCTAAACATTGTACTTCATAGACCGTGCTGCTCAGTTCAGGCTGAGTAACATCAGATTCATCAGCAACTCCTTAGAAATATTTCCCAAGCTCATTCATCATCATGAGAGAGAAATAAATTGATTCAAATTACAGTGAGAAATTGCATATCAGATGCTGAGAAATTAACTCCATGGTTGTGAGCAGAAGAAACCTTCGGTAAGTGGGGCATCTGCTGGTGAGGCACTGCAATGAACTAATCTGCTGTGTGCTTCAAAGCCTGACCCAACACAGGCCGTTCTGTGCTCCATTTGTCTGCCAAATAAGCAAGAGCCAAGCCTGGCTACTGGGTTCTTTAGTCCAGATCATTCCTTTTCTCTTTGAATAAATCCTTACTTCTCTGTTGCTCCTTTAGAGATGTCTGACACATACATTGCAGCAGTAATCTTGTGAATGTAGTTTGTTTTTTGTTTTTGTTTTTAAAAAAAGGGAAATTGGCCAGTGAAACTTTTCAGAAGATGTGACACAAGTCTCAAAGCATTTCCAGCCTCCCCCCCAAACAAAATTTCATTACAGATTCTCTCTCTGTTAGATTATATGGCTTTCTTTCTTGTACTCTGATACTCTGATCTGCTGCCCAAGAGTGTGAAAATGAATATTGTGCACAGGGAAACACAACAAAAATCTAGAGAGAGAAAATCCAGAGCAACAAAACATGGAAAGCATGATTCAGCACTGAAGCCACATAAATCCTACTAAAAGCAAGAGTAAGAATTAAATTAAGCATTTCATCTTTTTTATCCATTTAACATTGAAATTATGCTGCTCAGTCCTACTGAGCCATCCATAAGTTCTATTGCCTCCAGCAGTGATAACTCTGTCAGTAGAGCCTATAAAATATGAGGTCAGTACCTCCATTGCCTTAACAAATGAATCTTTTCTGTGATTAAATTATAATTCTGCTGTATGTCTTACAGCTGTGGATGCTCATTAAAAAGAATAGAGGGAAAGCAAGTTTGTTTGCTGTCTCCAGAGTCCAACAGTGTGAACTTGGCCTGTGTTAATCCTCTTGCTAACTACGTTGCTCTAAGTTTCTCAGTTTTGCATTTTTAGTAGTTGGCAGACTCATGAGATGTTTGTTTTCCATTTACTGGCAAACAGACAATTTGCTGTAGAATTTATTGATGCTAGGCACCTTCCTGATTCTGATAGGCAAAGCTACACTGTCCTTTGCTGGAAGAAGTAAGCCTTATAATGAAGCCTTTGTCAGTAATAAGGAATCTACTTTTTTTCAGCACAGCAATATACATCTTTATAATGGTTAGGGAACTTCTGGTGTAATACTTTAGCATGAGTGTTATTTCTCTTTACCCAGAAGGCATAAGTCAAAAGTACAAGGTTGCATTGAATGTCTGTAGTGTTTTTCTATGATTTTTTTCTTAAAATGGCAATTTAAAATAAAATCTTAGGTAAGTATTAGATTTTTCTTTATATGAAGAAGGTGAGGCTTTCCAAAGTTCTTTCCTTAAAATTATCTAGCACAGTTAAATAGTAGGCACTAAATAAAACAGGAAGGATAAGGAGTACAAGGGAAGGGTGCGGTGGAAGGTATTACTGTCTCCTTTATATTTTAGAGATGAAGGGAAGTTGGAGAAACAACTAGTTTTGTGTCTCTCCAAGCCATTAACATTCCTGTATTCTCCTCTTTTTTTCCACGTGCGTTGGTTGGTCATGGGGTGGATTATTCCACTGAGGTATTTCAGGAGCTTTCAGTAGAAGAAAGAGGCACATCCAGAAGAAATTGGTAAAAATATACTCGAGCAGTTCTATGAGTGTAATCATACTGGCACCACAAAACAATCCAAGCTGACCACCTACATCAGCTGTGAGAGAAGAAGATAAACATATGTCATCCAAAGCGTTTGGTTTAGTCTAGGAGGCAAACAAAACCTTGCCACAATTCAAGTGCTTAATAAATTCAAAATACATAATCCATCACCTTATGAAAACAGAATTACTGTTCTTAAGAATGTTTATGGGGAAAAAAAGACAAATGTGTTCCTTAATTTTAAACAAAGCACATACAACAACATATTTTACTGTGGAATGTGTACTTAAAATATTTCCTACTTCTGTGCTTTCTTAGCCATTCTCTTGCTTTTCCTCCCTATGTTTTTCTTCTCCCCTTTGAATTCCAGAAACTTCCTACTCTTGCAGTTAGTTCAGCATGTTGTATAAATGAAAACTACTGCAAGATTTAATTATTATTCTTAACTGTTTTCCCTACTGTAGGTCATTAATGGCATGGCAGGAAGCCTATGGAAAAGAAGCAGAAGGCAAATATGCTTATTATCATTATAGTGTAAAAGGCATTGTTTTTTATTTATAAACCTGGATAGTCTAGGACTTGGGAGGGGAGAGAATTAAAATTAAAAAAAAACAAAAAACAAAAAACAAAACAAAACAAAAAAAAAACAGATGTTTTAAACATTATTATTTTTTTTTTTAATTGATCAGCAATAAAATTCCCTTACCGAGCAACTCAGGTATGGTCAAGGCCTTCTGCTGCTGAGTTATTCTGTAGCTCAGATCATCGTATTTAATGTCAATAGTCACAAGGTTCTTCCTAATGATAAAATACAGGCAGTATTACTTGAGAGTGCTGTCCACGCTTACCAACATCCATCAGTTCGGACTGAGTTCATGCAGTGATGGTGCCTTTTAAAGGACAATCAGGTAGGAAGTACAAAAAAAAAAAAAATTTTTTTTTTTTTTTTTTTTTTTAAAAAAAAAAAACCTGAAAAAGTGTACTAATAGCAATAGTTGTAGGAGGAGGTCATTGGAGGAATTAGAACATAGCCTGAAGATCAAGAGCAACTCAGCCTAAATCTACACTGTGGGATAAACTCCTTTTTCTTAAAGGCTGCAGAGATAAGCTTGAGAGGAATTGTTAACCATCTGAAGCCACAGCAGAGACAGTGCTTGGAAATGTACCCTCTTGCTGTTGGTTATGTGCAAATGCCTATGTAATCCTGATAATTTCAATGGCTTGTGCATTTGCAATTGTGCAAAAAATCTCTTGCCCTATACTCAGATGCCTAGTTCTATCCTCTGCTAATAGCCTCTCTTACCTAATTATATTCTTGCTGCAAAAGTGCAAGAGTGGGTAAACCTTTATTGGAGCAGGGCATGTGGAATGATTCAGTGTAAATAAAGAGCTCATCTTTATGTTGCCGTGGCTACAGCACAACCACTAAATAGAAGATAAACATAACAGCAGTGGAGTGAAACAGACACAAAAACCAGTTGCACTCGTGACGTCACGACACTTTAGAACGAATGTAGTGAATATTATTCAGAAGTGTGAACAGTTACAGGCATGGAGGTTGAAAATGGCGATGAATTTATTCATCTGATGTTCACTGGAAACACAGTGTTGGTTACACAGAGTGACTGCCATCCCTTTAGTTGGTAATTCTAAAATCTAGGTAACATTGAATAATTAAAATAATCCTTTTTCCACGGCTTTTAATACTAAGTCCTCCTACAAGTGTCACGTGGTTGCTAGTGGCACTGTACAGTAAGGTAGTAAGCAGTGAACTTTTCCCTTCTGTTGTCAGAAATTAATCAGGATCTGTTTTATAGCTCAGAATAAGTATTTGTTAATACCTGGGCTGAATTCCTATTGGTTAAGGCTTGGTAACAGAAGAATGTTCTGTATTTTTTTTCTTGCCTAATTAAATGATTGTGGGGCTGTACATCATCTTTGCAGGCATAATCACATAATTAACAAAGATAAAATGTTCTCAAAGGATTATCATCTTTTATGTATTATAATGGGTGTCATTTTCCTAATCTTCATATAGTTTCTGTCCAAGTATAAATGTATGGAAGCATCTGCTGACTGTTGGCTCTACAAGTAACAAACCTTAAGTCACTGAAGCAATGAAGTACTCATGAATATTTCGTCAGCCAGATTGTTTGCTGTTGTGTATAACTTGAATCTGTGGATATTATTGAATTTGTGTACCACTGGCATTAATGCTTGTATAGGTGATGTACCTCTGTGGTGCAACTTGGATTATGAAACTATACTAAATGTTCTTTGGCAACTGGATTGAATCTTTCTAGCAAAAAAAAAACCAACCCACAACGTAGAAATCCTTGTACTGGATATACGATGATTGTTTTTCAAGGGAGTTCAGTATCACTTTATTATATTATAACTGTAAGGCACATATGCCTTATTAAATCACAAGTATACTTGATATTTCTTCCATGAATTTAAATCTATTCAGGTTGTGTCATCACTACTACTGAGCAACACAGCTACATGCATAATGTAAGATCTAACATAATTTCGTGGATAAAATGTGTTGTCAGTACCATAGAGACTTATTTTCACACTAAATCTCTTATTTGGGTATAGTCCCACTTTTTTTCCCTCTATGTAGAATTTTCTTTTATGTGGATAGAATCACACTGCTTTTCTACTTCAAGAGAATATGGTGCCAGATATTTTCTAAATATTTTTTTTAGTATTTAAGTGGTATTAATGCAGTTTTACTAACAGTAGAAAAGAGTGTTACGCTTTGCTGTGATAAAACCTAGCTCTTCAAAGCTTTCACAGCTTTTTTTTGCTGATGCATTGAGAGAAAGGGCAGGCAGTTTATCAGCACAGTTTGGGGTTGTCCACTGACTTCTGTGGGATGGATTGCTTGTGTGGACTGTAAGTGGATTTCATAACCCTACCCTTTCTTTATTCTTAACTATGAGAAGTTATGTAAAATTTGAATTTTGTAAGAGATCATTGGAAAAAGTAATGGAGAGCATTGCTTTTAAACTGGAGTTACTTGTTTATGGGATCCACGAGTCTTAGTTGCACCTACGTATTCATATATAAATTCTAATGCAATCTATTAGGCAAAACTGATTATCTCACAGTATCTGTAATAACACTTAGGAGTGTATTTTTAAAAAGGTCGCATCATATTGTGCAACTCTGTTTGCACACTTAAAAGTAATTGATCATTTCTTTATTAGGCAAGCTGTTAAAAACAATTACCTGATGTACTCTGGACTCTTCTTCAGCTTTGCAGAAATGTATTTAATGGCATTTTCTCCTCCAAAACTTGAATAGGTGACAGTGGTAGGGTAATGTGTTTCTTCACATGGGGCAGGGCAAGTGGAGTTGTGGGTTCCTACTGTACATAATCCTTTTACCTCTATATCATCTGAAAATTCAGGAGAAATATCTTGCACGTTTCTGAAAGAGCACTCAGCAGTAAGACTTTTGTAACCTTACAAAACGACTTCTGATTTCTTTTTATAAAGACTCATATTTATCCTTATGATGATTATTATGATATGATTATCCTTAGAAAAGTGGATACTTTTTTGAAGCAACAAATATCTGCAACTAGCACTTAGGAAACTGAAAAAAAAAAAAAAAAAAAAAGCAAAATTTCTTTCTGAAGTATAAACTGCAATACACAGTTATTCTTATTGAGGTGGGTGCTACAGTTCTCTGTTTGCAGCACCTGTTGTCTTTCCTCTGCCTCTGAGCTTGTTTTTGCTCACTGGAAGGAAGGAGGCATCTAGGTCTGCTAGGGATGATTTGATGCGTTCTTCCCCCCGGAATAACTAATTAGTTTATACACTCTCTCTTAATTATCAGCTTCTTTGAGAAGGGGAAGAGGGGAGAGCTCACATTGCATAGCTGCTCTCAAAGCAAAAGAGGATTTCTAAAATTTATGAGAAGCTACTTCTCAGATTCTCTGGAAAATACCATTAATGATAATCTGCTGTAATGATTAACAAATTCCATATCTGCTGTGTGCAGCTCATTTGCTCATGGGAATGAGCTACATGTGAAACATTCATTTTATTTACAAAAAGATTGCATCTTAAGATCCAGGCATTTTCAGTTAGTTTTTTTTTTTTTAATCAGTCACCAAACTTCTTATTCCATCTGATTTCTATTTTCAGAATATTAAATGAACTGGGATGTGCTTCATTTCAGTATTACTTTCAATAATTTGGGGTATTTTCTGCTGTTTGGGGTTTGCTTACAAAATATTGACATGAAATTATTACTTACGGATTGCAGGATAAACACAATTGTAAGACTTCATTAAATCACACTCTATTCCATTTCCTTAAAAAGAAACATTCTTTTAGGAACTTAATTGAACGGCCTACCCTTACCCTGAAAAAATAACATCATCAAAGCCTATGTGCTACTTCATACTTCTCATTATACATCTGAGATAACAATTCACTCCAGCACAGTGCAGGTACTAAACCCAAAATGGTACATAATGATGGAGAGCACAAGACTGGGCCAGGATGCTCCCTGGTGGAGTGAACATCACTGTTTGCTTTTGAGGTTGTGGCTCAGTCTTTATGTTGGCTAGCTAAGGCAAGAGATTTCTGGTTGTAGTGTTGGAATTAAAAAACAAAGAGGGTGGATGGAATCCAGCTACATCCTAAACACTTCAGACCTCATGGAAGATTACTCACATAACAATTTCTGTCACAGCTCTGGGGCATACTCTTTTCTTTCAAGATTTGCTTGTCTAGAAATGGCTGATGATCAGATGCTAAGTCCACAGTAGACCAAATACTTTGCTTGTAATCTCAGAATTAAAAAAAAGACAAATATAAGTAATGATCCTAGCTGAAGTTATCCAGCAGAGATCACCTCTGCCATTCAGCAGTGGGATGTCTCCTAGCAAGGTAGTCTTTATATATATGTATATATATATATAATATTTACATATTATGATAGTCCAAAGAAATACCTGGAAGGATAAAAGGTGAACAGCCGCACCAATCCTGTATATACCAGGCCTTGCATTCCTGCAAGCAGCCATTAGTAGTGTAAATATCCTGGTACTGAAGTTTGATATCAGGCTTGCACTCTCCCCATGGATATTCTTGAATGATTGACTGTAGGGTATTGATAACAGAAGATCAACATCCGTCCCTTTTAATATAGATACAGTTTTCCCATATTTTTAAGTGTTAAATGCAGCGTGTTTAAGATGTAAAGCAGTAACATGATTTAATTAAGAGGCAATTACAGCTTATGCTTTTGGAATTGTAAAGTCACTTCCACTCTCACACAGCAAAACCAGGACCTGTTCAGACAGCCCAGGGCAGTGGGGTAGTCTTTTCAAGTAGCACCAGGAGAGGATACCAGGATTCTAATAAATCATTAATATTAATGGCACTTGCTGATGGACAGCTATTGCTGTAGCTGCAAAGGCATCATTGCATCAGTCAGACTGCAGGATGCTAACTTGTGTAAAAGCAGATTAAGCAGACCGTCGATGTCACCGAAAGCATTTTTTCATAATGACTGTATTAATTATTTTCTTAATGACGTATTTTAACTTCAGAAGCATCTAATTAATTGTAGTATCTCAAGAAGAGAACCAGTGACAGCGAGCACTGATATTGTCACTCTTTGGTCGAGGTGCTTACCTTCAGCTGCTGAATCGCGACCTGCGCATGCGTGCCGACTGGTGTTAGCAAACCTAACCCATCAAAGCGTGGCATCTCCTTGGGTGAATGGATAACAAATGTGATACCAGCATCAGTGTAACCGAGGGCAGGGTCATCGGTGAATTGCTTCTGATGCAAAAAAAGAATTATTGAAAACGGTTTCGGTTTTGCTTACGTTCTGAAGATTTAGCAATATTTAAATAGTGCCACGGTTTTTTGGTCTTATTTCTCTAGTTTTCTTCTAGCAATTTACAGAAGAGTTTGGAAACAAACCAGCTGTAATTTCCTTTGTTGATTATATTGCGGGGTTTTCTTCCTGTTACTCTAAATTTCTAGGTTTTTTTTTCTATTCCATGCTCAAAAGCAAGAGGCAAAGGTAAACCTTCATTCGTAACTTAAAGGTTCATTCCTTTCATTTGCTGCTACCCCACGTGTCAACAAGCTTTCCACTGTTCTCTTGAGATCCTGTCACTTCTCTCCCTTACAATTTCCAGGGAGCAAAAGTGAACATTCAACTCTTCTATAACTGTGGGTTTTAGTTTTCTTTCCTCATCTCACAAGGTATTCCATGAGCTTTTATTTTTATTTTTATTTTTATTTTTATTTTTATTTTTATTTTTATTTTTATTTTTATTTTTATTTTTGTCAATTACAATACTAATAAGGCCAGAAACTATTGATAGTGCAAAGACCAGACCCTCAAGTGTTTGCATAAAATTAAATTACTTCTGGTGTTTTTCAGCTGTAGGTACACTGTATACATACATGCTTGCTTGCAGCTTTCAAAGCCGTTTAGCTGGTACAGAGTCAACAGTCACTCAGAATTCTTAACCCAGTTTTGGATCTTTAAAATACGCTTTCACTCAGGAGCAGTCTTGAGAAAGAATTTTATGCAAGAAATCTGAATGCCTGATTAAAACGAGATAAACAGATGGTTTTATATGATTAAATGTTAAAATCATTAGTATAGCTGTACCTGTTGGACATCAAAAAGTAAATGTAAGCCTCTTCCAGACAAGCTCACACTTCTTGCTGGAAGGTCGTTGTGATTAAAAGTGAAGCAGTTTCCATATTCAGTGAAAATGTGTTCAAAATCCTTAAAAAGAGAAAAAAATAAGGAAGAATAATATGGGGGGAAAAACAGAACTTGCATTAGTGAATCAAAATTGTTGGTTGGGTTTTTTCTTTTTTTTTTTTTTTTTTTTTTTTTTTTTTTTTGTAGATCTTCCCCAAAGGCAACACTAAATTTTACAATTAGGAAAGATGGAAAAAGCATTTCAAATCCCTTTCTACAAGAAATGACCTATAGAAATTGAAAGGGTAAATTCACATAATTTATTAATGCCCATGGGCTAGTCAAAATCATTAAATGAGGTTTTGATTTTGTACCTATTATATGCTGTTGAAATGACACATTCAGTTCAGTTTTTCCAGCTGTTGTTTAGTGAAGACTGTTTCAAATGTACACGTGATATTGCATAAGGGAGTAAAATGTCTGCATTTTTTCCCCCAAACCATTTCATTGAACTGAAAATCTTTGCTAATATGACTGCATTCAGTAGGTTTAATTTTAGCTATTGGATACTTGAGTGTTTTGAGTCAAGAGAACTCACTAGTGACTAATTTCTAGAAGCTACAACATATCTAAAGGCTGGATTAACCTGAAGGTTTGTAGGACTGACTCTTCTGTTCACGTATTATATTGAAAATGGGAATTGTTTTTTGGAAAAAATAACATTCAGAGGAGGATCACATTCTTTTGTTACCTTCTGAAACTCCCGAAGATAGGCTATATTGATTTAGAATTCTTTTGGGCTCTGCCTGCAGTTACCCTGGCTGTCCATGTTCTTGATCTCAAGAGTAAAACTAATGACATCAGTTGAACACATCTGCGAAACTATGTCATAGAAAGAAACTCCCTTCAAAACAGTGTCATAGGCTTTTTATGAGGAAGATGGCTGGGTGGAGCTTGAAGGCAAAACAGTTTTGAAAGACTGCTATCTAGGCAGAAGTGGGACTGGGCAGGGAGTAATGCAGACTGAAATTCCATGCTACAGCTCAGGGAGTCCAGTAGGCTGTCCTGCTGAGCTGGGCTCCTCCTCACAATGATTTACAGCTCGATTTTATTTTTTTCTTTTCTTTCCACTGAATGACTGTAAAGGAAAGCAGAGGGAATAGCTGGCAAAGCCAGATATCTGAAGTCAACTGGTAACAACATATCCCCTCCCTCTCCATTCTGTTCTAGTAAAGGCAAAAGTATTTACCTCTGGGTGACATGTCTTCCCAAAAAATTCACATTCTAGCAGTGTGCTGCCATTCAGATAAAATCCGTTTTCCCTTGTGAACTCTTTAATGCTGAAGTTTTGGTTTCCAAGAAGGAAGCCATTTAGCTCTTGGAAATATTTGTCTTCCATAGAAAATGTTTGGACAATTCCAAACACAATGTTCCAAAGGGAAAAAATGATTTGAAGGTTACTCACTGCATGAGCTTGAAACCTGTCAATGGGAAGGAGAAAGAATTACTTGGAGTTCTGCAGAATTACTGGACCAATTTCAGTGCTCTTTTTGCCAACTATGTGACGTGGTTTGTTGCTTGTTTTCAAACTATACCTCATTCCTGTCCACCACGCTTGCACTTTGATCTCTAGTACATGGATAAACAATGTAGTCTTAATTTCTAGGAAACATTTTCAAATGAGAACAGAAAAGGACACCTTCCCAGGACTACTATATAAAGACCTCTGTTGTGTGGGGCTACTAAAAAACAAACAAATAAACAAAACAGATTGGCCATCTACATCATCCAACAGCCAGAACTGTAGAGCCAATTAAAAGCCGGACAATTGTGTTTACATGGGGAGCCATGGGAGGACCAATTCCTTTTTTTTTAAAAAAAAAGAGCTGTGTTCCTTCATTCGTAAAATTGATTTCTATGTGCATCTCATGTACCTGTGCTACTGTGACACTAAGTCTACCTGCTTGTGAGCTCTGTCATTGGTGCCATAGTAGCAGGAACAAAATGTGATCCTTTCTCCTAGAATCCTTTGGAAATCTCAGAACTATGAGATGTTGGATGTGCTAAAAAGACAAAGGAAGATTTGTGCCTCTGCTCTGCCAGCAAAGAAAATAATACCTGAAAACAGGAGTGAAGTATAAGAACAACAGGAACAGCAGATGGATGTGGCTGCAAATTGTCACTTAGGCAGACAACTGGTAGCCAACTGTTTTATTGCTATGTGCTGCCACTATAGTTAGAACGAATGAGAGATTTTAATAATGCATGCTCAACTCAAGGAACTTCTACTTGTGTATATTCTACAGTATAACCCAGAAGGACTTTACATAGGGTGATGGGAATGAAAAACAGTGAGGCAGAAAGGCACCAGATGTTTGGGACTTGGACCTTCTGGTTGATTCTGGCAACAAAGGGTAGAATATTTCAGAACTTACCATTCTTGAGAAAACAATGTGAGTAAAATTATTTTTCTAAATTACTTGCATGTTACGTATAAAAATCGCATTGTAGATTTGTTGCTTTCTTTTCTTAAAAGCAGTTACATCTGAATTGTGGCCACTACTTTCAGCTTTAGTGAAGTTCCTGCTGTGGTATATGGCTTTCAAACATGCCAGATGCTTTCCTCTTACAGATCCCACTGACATCAGCTGCAACTACAAAGGGCGAGCACTAATGAGAAAAAATAATTGCTTTGCCTAAAGTTTCTACATCTGTATGTTTGTATTTAAACTTACCTGAAAATGTTGTCTTTTATTTTTGACTTCTATGACTGATTATTGTCCCTTAGTTACGCTGTAGAAGGAGCACTCATTGGCTATGATTTTACATGGAAGAATGTTTATACTTCCAGGTTTTGAATATTAAAAATCTGGGGCGTAATTTATCATTTGAAGATGGAGGGAGATTAAAAATCTGCCTTCCCTAATGCTCACATTTACTTCTTTAGCAGAATAGTGGTGTGGAACATAGATCCCTCAGATTTGTGTTTTGTGGCCTTCATGAAAAGAACTGTGGAGCCCAGCTGCTTTATATTAGCCAGATAAAGAGATGTAGCCTCTCAAGAGCAAGCAACAAGCATAACTTTTACCTGTTCAGGTTGCAAAAAGTCACAGCAGGGAATTTGACATTTTCCACATGCTGAACTACCACTGTAGTGGTGGTTGGCCAGCTGAAGTAGTAGTTAAAGCGACTGCAGATCTGCCAGATGACGATGCCAAGACAGGCTGTGACTACTAGCAGCCACAGCACTCTGCGTGTGCTGCTCTGTGTTTGAACAATTTTATGCACTCCATGGAACGATGTGGATGAGGCAAACTCCTGACGATACTTCCTTCTGTCTTCCAAGCGTGGCAGAAGTTTCTTTGTTAAGTACAGTCGAATCTGATCCAGTTTTCCTAAGTGTTGACCAAATGAAAACACATATTTTTTTAGATCAGCATTTAAATGGCTTTTAGGAAAGGGAGCTATGTAATTAAGATGCTGGAAAGCATCTAGAAAGAGTCATAAACTCTTCGATTAGTGGGCTTCCTTCTAAGGGTAGTCTAGAGTTCTAGAAGATGTGTGCTAGATTAGCTCAGTTCTATAATCTCTGTCTGGGAACAGACTATACTGTGCAATATTTTATGCCTCATGATTGTTAAGCATACCAATATAAATGAGTAGTTCCATTTCCATGGGAAAAGATTGGATTTTTGACATAGCACAGGATGCTGTAAAACGCTAAACATCTGATTATTAAGGTCCTGGTCCTTCCTGCTTGCTCTAAAAGATAAAAAGGGAATAGTGCATTTTTCAGACTTTCACCCTTAAATTACTGAAGGTTTTTCTATGTAAAACTTGGAGGGTTACAGATTCAAAAGGAAATCTGCTCTCCTACCGTTAGGTCTGTATTAGTAGATTTAAGTGTGGCACATTTTCTTGCATGAAACATGAACTTCATTAAACTGATTTACTAGAAGTTGTTACAGTTGGGAGGAGGAGCAAAAGGATGTGCAAGTTTTCTGCCAAAGCTGTCTCGACTACATCAACTCTCTGGGATGTTGCTTTGGCCTGTGAGCAATGTGATAATTAAATTCCAGTTGGTTCTGGATTTCAAAGCGTTTCTGAAAGGAAACAGCTTTTTATGGTTTTTTAATCATTCATATAAGAATTTTAATTCAATGCTAGTATGATTTACTTCAACTATTATGACTATTTCTGCTGGAGAACTGCCCAAAGCTTCTCTCCTAGCTCTAGTGACTATTGAATCCTTTGCAAAGCTGTTTAGGCATGGGTGCTTTTGTACTTCACATTGTAACAAAGGAGAAATTATTAGAAACTGTTTTCTCTGCAGACCATAGTACCAACCCAAGGTGTATAGGTGGAACAAATTTAATGTTCTCTTGTTGCAAGATATAGATATTAGATATAGATATTGGCCACTGATTTTAGGATATGAATACACTTTTCTTTAAGCATTCATCTTTGGTCACAGTCTGGGTCTCTTAAAAAGAAAAAACAAAAAAAAAAAGTGATTTAAATATATTTAAAATGATTGTACAACGTCATTAAATGATGATGCTGATGATAGACAAAAAGGCCTTGGACAAATGTTAGGTCTTAGCTCTCTCAATAACTTACTGTTTGATATGCATATCTGTTGGTAAGGATATAAAGTACTTTTAATATTGACTCTGCAATTAAAAAATATAATTATGTGGATTTAAAAGAAATATTAACAGAGAATCCAAAGGTTAAAGGATGGATAAGCAAGGAGGTAAGTAAATCAGAGGGATCCAGGTACAGCAGCAAACAGCATGTTTCAGTGTAGGCAAATATGGAACATGCATGTAATAAGGCAGACAGACCTACGTTCAAGGATGAGTTGCAGATAGTTTGCCTCAGGAAATGACTGCTGAAGAAGCTGTGAGAGCCATGATTGGTCAGAGAAACCTGGTTTCTCAGTCTAGTGCTTTTAATGAAGAAATAAGTTATCTGCATATGTAACCAGAGATATTAGGACAGGGACTTACTGTTTTGAGTTGGTCTAAAAACTTCAGAAATTCACATTATCTTTAATGCTAAGCTGAATTTAAATCAGGTTTTTTTTTTTTTTTTTTTTTTTTTTTTTAAACCTTGGTAAGTTGACAATTCATCACAATCCATAAATACTTGAATAGGGAACTAATAGGTAATAGTAATGGGCTCTTCTGATCTAGTGTGGATGGGAAGATGTAAAAGGACCCAGTGGAAAGAATGGGAAGCTGAGCTCTTTCACAGAAGAAATAAAGTACAGCATCTTGAAAAAGCAGCTTGTCTTCATCTAGAGTTGTTGTTATCTGGAAGGAGTTATTTCAAGCAGGTTACATGTGGCTTTTGCCACCTTTACAAAGGTTACTTAGTCTGGATAGATTCAGGGTTTTTGTTTATCCTTAATCTAAAAGTCATTACATTAAGATATTGTTCAGAAAAGTCATTGTGTTGTGCTACTTTTATTTTACATGCAAACAGGACCAATAGCTAGAGAGTATTCCTCATGTCCTAAGAGAAACATTTTTCTGCAAGCTTTGTTTCATCTCTCCCTTCTTTATACCCTGAAGATATATATGACTTCTATTTTGGATAAAGGTTACAAGAGAGGAGAGGCAATGTTTCTCATTTCATTGGTCCTGACAAAAACACCCAAATGTAACTAAAACTTTTGGTGAGGTACTCTAATACATCCAATTACTTACCTTCAGCATCAAATTGAGTGAATCTCCCCAGCTGGTCCATGAGGCTGTGCTTATTTCAGTAAGGAGGGAAAGGATACTGTAAGCTGCCTTATCACTGTGATCATTGCTAGCTAATGGCTTTTATAGAAAACTAAATGGGAGGTGATACTTGATGACACAATGCTGGGCAATTTACCTGCCAGGGTTGCTATGTTTTTCCTTTAGATAACATGGTCTGCAAAGTAAAAGAGAAGATTAGTTTTGAGAAGATAATTTTTATGGCAGGATCAGATGTTCAGGTACCTATTACACCAATAATAGTAGAAATGCAGTCTACTGTCTTGTTGCATCACCTTGTAAGTTAATTCTTCATAATTTCTTTTTGTTTTAGAAAGACATCTTCAGAAAAACTGTGCTGTTCCAAGTTGAATACATTCTCTTTAAGTAGACAAGGAACCCTTTCCCTGGAGGGCAGTGGATGTCTGCCTCTAAGCTCCTACCAGCAGCAGGATGTAGCTCACCCTCACTTCCAATAGCTGTCTTTATAACCAAGTGCAGATTTCATGTTTCTGTGGGCTTCTGCAAGAAATGGGCTGCAGTTCATGAGAACTAACCCTGAGGGTGAGGAAGAAGATGCATGCAGTTGGTCATTCCATTAACTTCTTATCAGAGGGAACAGAAACCACTTTCATGGCGAGTGAACGGTGTATTCTTGTTTGAAAACAATTTCTAGTAAACAACTGGGCATCTAATGAAAGGCAGTGGAAAATAACAGGAAGTTAAAATACGAGATGTGCTTTGTTAGTCTTTCAGGAAGATTTGAAAACTGTCACATTCACTTTCTGATCTGCAGGGGATGGAGATCTTGGGGTATTTTTTTTTTGCTCTCATAAAGGTCCACTTCAATGCCTGCAGCACGTTTGGGATCCTGGGTGTGCTAACTTGGTTCCTCAGTGCCTCACTGGCATTCACAGTTTGCTGGCTATTTTCTGGCAGTGTTGCTTAAGTGATGAGCTGCAAGTTAGATCACTGAGCTCCATTTACTCATTCCGGCGTGAAGAGCGCATTTCTGCACTCTTGGAAACCTTCTTGGAAAGATGGCCTCCTCCTTTTGTTACTTTTGCCTCATGAATGAGGCTTTCTACCACAGTAAGCTTTGATCAGTACTTGCATTCACTCAGGCAGTAAAGTGCTTAACAGTAAACTGTTTTTCAACATCTATATGTAACTCAGGCGTACCTAATGCACTGCTGAGCAGCTATTTGCTGATCTGCTGATTCCTATTAACACAAAGCACTCTAATTCACAGTACTCAAACAACGCATTTACATCACTTAAAACTTGCTTGAGTTCTTAAATCAAAATTATACTGGTCTGTTAATACTGCTGTGCATAGGGTTAAAGAAGTACAAAATGCAAGTCGCTCTGCATGCAGCAAATATTGATTCATCTTTCTTAAAAAGTGAATGTCTTACAAAGAGAGTGCTTATGAACTTGTCATATATTCTCTGTTTTACAAAAGAAATCAGTTTCAAATTTTCTTTCTTTTATGGTTGTTTTATGTTAATTCTTAAGCAAATGCTAGGGAGTGAAAACCAATCATCTTGTATTTGTTCATCGTTCCCAAATGGCTTACAATTTTAAGACCGTAAATTGGTCACAGGGAGCTTATTTTTTCCCATTCACTCCTTGTCATACATGTCTACTTACCTAAATCACCCAGTCTTTAATTCTTAGTGCAGTAAAGGTTAGAAAAACCAACTGATGACAGCGGTGGTCACAAATTTTGTATTCATACATACTGCAATTTCTTTCTCCAATGTGGTTTGAAGTCGGTCCTCAGTACTTTCGAATTCTTTTATTATATTGCCAACTTTAAGAGGATACTGCAACCAATGCGACTATGTAGCAATTTGCTGAAACAAGGAGATGAGTTATCCAGATAAGTTATATTTCTATAGCCTACTTGCAGAACGTGTTGTAAGAAAACTTAGGGGCTGATGAAGGAAAATCATACCTATATATATATATATACACAAGCATACATATTTAGCTTTCACTGGACTTTTTTCCATAAAATGTCAAATATTTCCTACTACCATCTGTTTCATTCTATGAAGCTCTTTGCTTAAAATATTCTTTTTTTCCTCTTTTTAATAGAAACTGATCACTTATTTACCAATAGAGAGGGCTGCAAGTACTCATACTGAATCTATGCATAAAATAGTAGCAAAAACAAAGCATGAGAAGAAAAAAGAAGTGACCACCATCTGTTATGATGTGTTGTCACTCACTGCTGCTTTATGGCAAATGCTGGGATACGTGCAAAATGGCAACTAACTGTAAATGCAGGCATCTGTCTTGTTCCTTCTTTCAAAGCAGGTGTGCCAGGGGAATCAGCAGTGAGGGGCTAGGCTTCCAGAAAAGGCACCCAGAGAAAATTCTATGTCTAACACTTGTTTGGTTTTTTTTCTTGCCATTTTTTTCTGAGCCTTTTCCAAGTAGTCTTCAACTATCTTGGAGAGTGTTGTCAGGGACATGGTACCTCAGACATCCTTTCTGAGGCTGGATGGAAAAGAAGATTCCCATGCCATGTAGAAAGCTGCTATGTGAAGTTGCGTGTATGAATTGCCACAGTTCTGCTTTTTGCTGTTTAATGTATTTTTGTATAAGTGAAACATCCAGCTCATTCTAAAATTAAAAAAAAATCTGGTTTGGTTATTGTTGCTGAAGTTCCAAGGTGCTACTCTTTGCTTCACTGAAACTGCACATTATTTCAGTGCATTAAGATCACTTTGAATTCTAGCCCCCATCTGCCAGCATGCTATTATACCTTCCAGGTAATTCTCATTTGTCAGTTGGAGAAGTGTACAGTCTATTCCATCATCCAGGCCATTAATGATAATACTGAATAGCATCAGATTAGCAAATTGCTACTGGAGTTTGTCCTGAAGCAGCCCTTTGCTCTTGCTAGGCAGCTCAGCTGCAAACAGCAGCACGAGCTGAGCCACGGGGAGGCATGGCAATGGCAATAGCTTCAGGTTCTGACTTCACTGCACCTGACTAGTAGTCAAGTTTCATGTGTTAGGAGGGGAAAGTAACAGCTTCCCTGTACTGAAGGATAGAACCTTGGAGCGAGTGGCTGTGAGGTGTTAAAAGAGGATAAATTAGACTTGGGGAAGCTCCACGGCAACCAACGTGTTCTTACACATATGCACAACTCGTTTTTCGTAAGTGTACAGTTTTGGGTAATACTGACATGTTTCAGGGATGAGAGGAGGAAGATTGGGAAGTGGCAGCGAGAGCACACCTTCTCCATAATGTGGAAATCAGTCAGAATGTGAGGAAAACAAATTGTTCCTCTGGAGCAATTCCAAGAACAGGCACTTGAGGCAACATCTGAGTACAACCAGCAGACAACAGTCAAAAGCAAAATCATCATGAGTGCTGCATGTAAAGAAAACCCAGGTGTAGGAAGAGCAGTGGTAATCTGAGCAGAGTCTGCTTTTGATCACAGGAGCGTTGATGTCAATGCTTCTGACTGCAGTAGGGTCAGAAACTATGTGATGTGGAAGAAATCCAGCTGCATAGGCAGCAGGGGACGGGGGGGTTGTGCTGGGATGCACGAGATGTAATCGGGAGTTAAGAGTGTGTTGTGAAGTGACAACATTGTTCTCTGTCTTTAAGAAGTAGAACAAATACAATATTAAAAAAAATAAATCTTTGCAGCACTATCTCTTTGCTTTGTTTGTACTTTGCAAGACCTTGAGCTCTGTTCCTCCCCCAGATACAAATGCCTGATTGGATTAATAATATTGCATCAACTTCAGGCCAGTTTGTTCAAGCCTCAAGTCACTAGATTTTCTTTTTTCTTGATACAAGCTGTTAATTTCAAATGTTTTTTATACATCAGTGCCAGTTTTGGAAATTGCAAAATACTTATTTGAGAGGAGGATATTCTTTGGTGCTGTATCAATTATCTCCTCTTAACCTTCCCTTTTTGTGCCTTTATTCAAGTCTCTGTTGTAATGTTTTTATTATTGTTATGACTAGGGAAGTTATTTTCGTTCAGTTCTTATATAGCAAGTAGCACACTAAGGTTCTTTCTGGCTTAGTCTACTAGATGCTTCAGCTGTGCAATGGGCATTGAGAAGAAAATCAATCAGGGATACACAAAAACAGTGTTGTGAATTGAGCTTATGGTAAATAAATAAAATGAACCATCAGATGCAGTTCAACCAGTGTGACTACCCACTTATTTATAAAGCAACAGCAAAACAATAGAAAATTCACATTTTGTAAAGCCTTTCTGGAAATCATTTCAGTTCCATACAGTATTTACTGTATAGGTGTAAGGTTAAAGTGGTGTTAAAACTCTTGGAACTCTTTCCAGTGAACAGGACAACAGTGTTCCAGAAAAAAATCAAGAAATTCAGTTGCACCTTCTCAGCCAAAACCTACCAGTAGTTGCCATACTGCTTGCTTCTGCATTTCACTATTATATTAATGAGTTTGTCATCTGAGAGATCAGTTCTTTCACCAATGAAACTAGCAATGTGTACATCTGTACATTGATGTTTCACCTTTTAAATGCTCAAATTCAAAACAGACACAACTCAATTTGAGCAATTGCAGAAAAGAGAGACTGGGAGCTTCTTGCAAGCTCATAAGCTATGGCTTGGTAGTGAATGGTATTTAGGAATACTCAGTTAGTTGGCAGGAGGTTTGTAATTAGCACAGGGAGTTGCTCCTTCACACTGTGCACTGCAGTTATTCCCATTGCAGTGGGCTGTGGACTCACAGTGTCAGGGTTATTATATGCAGGGACACGGGTACCACAGGAAGTCCTACACTATCAGTACTGGAAAATTAGATGGGGAAACTACCTCACTGTAAGCTTGCTGTTTGTTCGTTTGTTTGTTTGATTGATTCTTCTAATAGGCTCCTCCCAAGACACCTGCTTTCTAGTAGAAACTTTTACGCTTACCCAACCCACTGCAGGTACTATTACATAAGTAAAAACAATTTGTGCTGAATAACTCCTTGTGTTTCCAGGATAAGCATTGGGAAGTGTTGTGTGGGGTATCTTGAGATTTGTTTTGGGTGAACAAGTCACTTGTAGATACAGAGAAGACTTTTGTTGGATTTCTGACATTACACAGTCATTCTTCTCTCTCCTCATCAGTTCACATCAGAACAAGTGGCCTCTTTACTACAGCTGTACCTGCAAAATACAGGACGCTTCTGGCTTACACCAAACCTCCCATTGGCCTAGCTAGAGGGAGGCTCCTTTTCTGCTCTTACAATTCACTTCTTTCAGTGTAAGTAAGTTCAGTTTGTCTCCCCTCTGCGACTCCATTGCAGCTGTGATGAACAAAGCTAGTCAACGTCCACAGCTGGGGAAGGGAAAAAAAAAAAAGGGGGATCAGGGTGGATTAAGAAAGGGGTTTAACAGTTGTCATGCTTGGTCATGAAGATCATGACAGCTTAAAGGCCACAAAGTGCAGTTCCTGGAACATGTACCTTTTTCTTTTTTTTTTCCTCCACTGTGTTTAACTGTTTGTCTTGTATTCAGCCCAATCAAAAAACAGAACTTTCTCTGCACTGAAGGTTAGAGTCCTTTGGTACATTTCAGAACGAACAGAAGTCTTTGTCTGACTTTCATGCTGTAAAAATAAATAAGCAAGGAAACAGAAAAAAAAAAGAGAAAATCTCAAGGACATGCACACATGACTGGCTTTCATAGACTTGCTCAGTCATCCACAGCATGAACAGCAAGCTGTGTGTGTAATTACATCTGCTTCTACCTAGTTCTGCATGTTCAGCATGAAAAAGGGTAATTATGGTGCATTTTGAGAAGAAGGTAATACCATTTAGTTAAAATCAAGGTTACGTTTTGCTTTTAGATATATACGAAGGTGCTTTTTGATCAAGATTCCTTAATGACTGATTATGCTAGTATAAAGAGATGGCAAAGGAGCAGTAGAATCTCAGTAGGGAAAGGTGACTAAACCACTCAAAGAAGGGTTAGATCCCAGATTTGAGCAGCATGGCAGAAGCATGAGTAGGCATTTATTTCTCCATCATTTATAGAAGTGTCTACAGCTAAGACAGACATAAAGGCTCTGAGTTGAGCCAGACCTTGTGGCTCTTTCAGTCTGTGCTATTGTCCAGACTGCCAACAGACAATTTCATAATCAGGTTGTACAAGTTAGCTTTGCTTTTATTTGCTCTATTTATCAGTACCAAGTTCATTATGTACTTTGATGGCTTACTGAAATCACATTCAGGTAGCCAGCGAGGTGAACGAGTGATGGAATCAATCAGTTTTGAGGTCTGTAAGCAGAGAATTTGAACGTGTTGGAATTATTGTGATTAATTTCCTAAATTCTTGCAATTTGGCTGATTTATTTGGTTGACTGCAGCTTGTTTGTTGCTGAATCAAAACAGAAATTTCTGTATCTCTTGATTCAGACAGTATTCCCAGCTAGATTTTGGGAGTTTAGTAACCCTAAACCAACCAAGGGTAGTATTACTTCCCGAACTTGCAGTTAATATTTTGTTAAGCACAGAGCTTAAAAGGGCTCTTAGACTTCAAAGTCTTTCCTATAGGCAGGCAGTATAACTGTTGCAAGCCAGAGAACGTTCCTCTGAAAACACATTATTCTTTGGGCCCCATGAAAGATATTGAATTGCACAAAGAAACACATTAGCTTCTCTGATGTGGATAAGAGTTCATATTTTTCAGCTGTTCTTGTTCCTTTACTGTATTCACCCTCCTTCTTTGCGACATTAGGAAAGCTAACAAGAAGTTTGATTTCACAGTGGAGGTTCAGGATGTCAACTGGAAATGACAAACCAAGCCTTGGTTGCCCATTTTGATTTTGAGATCTGTAGATGGGGCAGGTTATGTTATTGTCACAGGGTGATGGGGTTGGAAGGTCTTGGGTTGGAAGAGACTCACAAAGGTCATGGAGTCCAGCTTCTGCCTCCAAAAGCCCCAAATTCAAATCCTGTGTCTGAGTGTTGCCCAAATGCTTCTTGAACTCCAGCAGCTCAGGGCCATGCACATCGCCCTGTGGTGCAGACCTATTCCTCACCCCCACTCGCCCCAACCCTGACAGCTCCGCACCATTCCCTCAGCCCTGTTGCTGTCACATGGAGCAGAGCTCAGCACTGCTCCTGTGGGGAGCTGCAGCCACCATCAGGCCTCCCCTCAGCTCCTCTGCTTTGGGCTGAACCAATTGAGGGGCTGCAGCCACTCCTCATGTACCTCTAGACCCTTCCCCATCCTCATGGCCCTCCTTCCTTTAGACGTTCTCTAATAGCCTCATGTTGTTCTTACATTGTGGTGCTCAAACCTGCACTCAGGTCTTGAGGCTGCACCAGGGCAGATCACAGAGGGGCAATTGCCTCTTAATGAAGCAATTTCAGTCGAAGCAGCGTGTTTTTCGAGCACAGAATTTCTGATGTATATACTACAGTCTTCACCTTTATTTCGGCTTGCCGGCATCCAGAGCAGATGTTCAGAAATGAGTGATGAGGATTATTTTGCCCCATCAACTTTTATCTTGTGATGGAAGAACACCTTTACCTTGCTTACGAGTTGCCTCAGTGGAGTCCTACCTGTGGCTCAGCTAAGTGAGAACTCAGTTTTAAGCTAATATTTGTTTAGCGTGACATCCAGCATCTGAGTTAGCAGGGTATATATCCCATGACCCACATATTTTTTTGTTGTCCATCTACTCTTAAATGACTGGAACAGTTGAATCCAGCACACGGATACCACTGCACGATGCATGAGAGTAAATGGCCTGGGTTCACAGGGTCCCTGTAACTTTGTTTACAGAAAAACTGAGCTTTAACTTCTTTCAGAACAGGCTGGCAGGTACAAAAGAAGCGCACACTGGTAACACGTTACTTCATGGTCTGTTAGGCTGATGATTAGACAGAATTGAGTAACATTTGTCAACAAATGAGAGTGAAACTTCTGCAGGAAGAAATAAAATCAAGAAATTGTAATGAATTAAACCTCTGGAATAGTATCATGCGCGTATTTTTCTTTTACTTGTTTTACTGAATCTGTGTGCCCACTTTGAAAATAAGTGCATTGCTTGAAAGCCTTTACAAACAGTACAGTTTTCCATGGAAGTATCAGTTTTCTTTCTTTTCCTTCCTCTCCCTCTCCTTTTTCATGTTTCATTTTTTTTAACAGTTTGAAGTATACCAATGCTTTGATATGAGGGGTTGCATGTTAAAAATCTACCTAAGCAATCTCTGAATTAAATATTAAATATTTTCTTTATTCACATGCAGACTTCTCATTGACTTACCCCTTACACCAGCCAGGGTCTCCATCAGGGAAAGCCACACAGCAAAGTGTACAAAAATTGTCATGTGGGAAAAAGCAAGTATCCCAGCCACTCTTTTTTTTGAAACAAAACATTAGAGAGCCAAAACCACATGAACTTATTGACCTTTGTGCCATGACAATTCTGTAATTATTGAATAGCAGGGATGAGCTGAGAGCTAAGAGGATTTGGGGGGGTTGGTCTACAGAGGGAGATAAGGTTACATATAAGGCAGCTGCAGCACATTTGGGTTAACTGAGTTGGCTTTTTTTTTTCCCCAGAGCACAGCTAAGTGAGTTTGGACCCTGGAACCATGAGTGGGTGCCCCTTCACAGGGAACAAATACTTGTGAGTTACTATTATCTTTATTTTGTGTTAAAAGATATAAAGTTAATGTAAATTTTGGAGAGGAATTAATGATTATCTGCAAATAGACTGCTATAGCTATCCCTAAGGGAAGGGAGTATGAGGACTCTTCAGGGAAGGGCTGTGTGATGAACTAGATTTAATGCTACCAGCTATTACTGCTGTGACAAGGTGTGTGTCAGGTGCATTCTTTTTCATAAGATTGCTTTAGTAGTTCATTTTTTTCATCATTTGAATTTTAGTGAATTTTAATGAAATGACAAATATAGCAATAGTTCTTTAATTAAATAGCTTACGTATTTTTTTGCTTTTCTTCTCAGATATAAATTTGGCAACCTATCTTTGAAAGATGAGAAAGCTGACGAATCGCAGGAGGGAATAAATAAAGCCAGCAAAGGTGGGCTTATCTATGGAGATTACCTGCAAGTAAGTGTAATGATTTGAGTTCTACTGTCCTGGATGCTTGGAAGACTTGAGTAAGGACACAAGATTGGCACTTCTTCCAGTCATGCACTGGCAGTAGTTAGTTGTACTGGCAAACCTAAACCATGAAGCGATGCAGCACAATACTTTATTTGATCTGATAGTTAGCAGTTTTTCTGCAAATCAGGTGGCCATGTGCAACTTTCCCCAAATTATTGCATGAAACTCCTTAATATTTGGTTGGAAAATTACATTCCAGTAATGTAGGGTATGAAAGGAAAACAAACAAACAAAAGACAACAACCACCCAAAACACAGCAAGAAGTAATCAAGAAATATGTAAAAATAAAATGTTAGAAGTGATAAGACAACTTAGACATTTGCTTTTATTTTCATGACAGCAAGAACTGAAATGAGTGGAATTACTCCATGCTTGTGAACAAGCAATTAATTTGTTGACATATAATACAGGATCTTGCAAAGATTTCTTTTAAAGCAGCTGTGAGATAATGAATTTGACTCAATCAAAAATTACTGATGCCAGAACTGAAATAACTAGTTCAGCCTCAAATCAAATCTCTGGCATAGTTACACATTATACAGTTACAGAATTTTCTATCAGAAGTCTCTTGCACTGAATATGTCAGTATTGATATCAGCTCTGGAGAATGCACTGTGTATTTTGTGTTCTCCTTTTTTTATGTATGTATTCAAAAATCTTAAAATGATTTTCCAAACTTTTTCACTTGATGAACCTGAATGTTAATTTCAGATGATTTTCTTTTCTTTTAATTACAAAGAAACTATTTATTTTAGCTTCTCATACAAACTGGATTATTTTTTTTTTGCCTTAAATATAAGCCCTACACAGTAGGAACACCGTGTCTAATAGCAGAATTGAGAACTTTACAAATAGTCTTTTATTATTGTTATTTTTAAGTTGAACAAAATACTGAATGCCCAAGAGCTACAGAGTGAAAAGAAAGGAAACAAAATCCACGATGAGCATCTTTTTATTGTGACGCATCAAGGTAAGCAGGCGAGAGGATTAGAGCAATGGTGGTTTGGCATTCTTGCTGCAGGAAGTTACTTAACACTGACAAGTGCTATGTGTAATTTGTTTTCATTTTTCACCTGTTGCTGCAATTACTCAGTCTTTTTATGTGTGTTTATATTTGTATATATCCCTGGATGTTTTTTTAGGCTGTAATGAACGCTATGCTTACGAAGTCATAACTATAACATTCAGATTTGGAAATCAAGAGTTTAGAGACTCTCTTTCTAGAGAAATTCAGGTGGAGAAAATATTCCTAGCTTGAGTAACAGGGTGCTAAGCAGTTTATTGTAGGCGAGCTTTATATATTTTGGTTTGTGGCTTCTCTGAAACTTCAATCCTGCTTTACCCATTGAGAGGCATTAGAAGTCAGCACAATGGTTGGATGTTCCCTACCTGCTCGTATCCACATGGTTTGCAGGCACTGATTGGATGACACTTTCCTGTTGTTGATACGAAACCTGTAGCATTGAAGTTGTAAACAGCTCTGGGGTTATAATGGGATGCCACTGTCCTGTTGCTAAAGTTGTACCTGAGTTTTTCACTTTCCCCTTTTGTAATCTACGTTCTGTACATCCATTATCTGATGTGGAAAGTATGCTTCGTAAAGATCTGTTTATGCTCTTGATACTAGATTACTCCATAGAATAGTTTTGGTAATGGACAACACACTAGAAAAGGCAATACTTCTTCATACCAGCACTTTTTTATACCCCAATGTTGTAAATGTAGCTTATTCACTTCAAATCAGAAAGTAAGAATTTTTCCTCATCTTTGTGAAGAAAAAAAGAAAAAATAACAAAATAATGCTGAAGTTATTGCTAACAATGGCTTTATTGTTTTAGCTTATGAACTTTGGTTTAAGCAGATTCTGTGGGAGTTGGACTCTGTTCGGGTGATCTTCCAGAACGGACATGTAAGTCAAGTAAATATTCATTCTGGTAAAATTAGGACTCCTCTTTCTTTGCCTCCCAGCTCTTCTATCCTCATAGTGTGCACGGATACAGAATCCATTTTCCTCACCTTTTGCATAGATGCCTCTCCAAGACCAGTTTCACTGGCCAAAATACTCTCATACTTTCCTACCAGTACTGGGAAATTGCAAAAGATAATTTGGGTATATTTTACTGCAGATAAGTCACGCTTGGAGGCAAAACTGAAGATGGGCTAACAGGTCTATTTACGCTGACTTGTCAGCGTCTGCCTTTGTTTGAATTTTTGAACTCCAGTATCTGCTACATGAAAGCAAAACTATTTGCAGCAGCAGTGTATTGTGAAATCCAACAGAAGAGCAATAATCAAAATCATTATGTATAATTACATGAGAATTTTGTAAAATGACAAATATAACAGAAGCATTTTAAACAACTCCAAACATTTATCCAACACTAAATGTCATATACACATATGTCATAACTATTGATAACAAGAGAACCCTCCTGACTTAAAATGCTCACAGCAAAATGCTGACTGCATGTAATACCTTGAATAACAACCTGAGTTTGTGTATGTGAAGAAAAACTTGAAGTAGACCAGACTTTATTTCAGAAAGGAGGAGTCTTTTTTCCTTATAATGATTGATGAAAATGTTCTTTGTTGTCCTCTGCAGTCATAATATTCTTGGCTTTCTTAAAATTGTATCAAAATGTATTTGATCATAATCAATTCTTAATAGAATAATTTTTATTTATTTATTTTTGTGATAAATGAAAGCTATCTTACAATCAAAACTTGAAATGTCAATGTTAAGGTTAATAGCAAAGCAAGACTATTAAGGAAAAAATTTTCATATTTCATTTTTATAGCTTGATATTTTCTGGTTGTTTGCCCTGGTCTCGGAGATAAAAATAGGATTGAGTTAATAGGAATCAGTGAGAGAAAAATGGATTTAAAAAATTGAGCATTATACTTTCAGTTAAAATCAGAGTCTATTCAATAGGGGATTGTTTTGCTGTTAGGGGCTTCACATGGAAAATGACTTGAAAGCTATCATGTTGCATAACAGTGAAAAGATGTGAAATAGAAAAGAGAACACTGCTTTCTGTTGGGTCATTATATTTATTTCTTATTAAGGTAAGAGATGAGAGGAATATGCTGAAGGTTATTACTCGAATGAACAGAATTTCAATGATTCTGAAATTACTTGTGGAACAGTTCTCAGTTTTGGAAACCATGACTGCACTGGACTTTTTTGATTTCAGGTAAATATTTACTATTTCTCTGTAGTAATGCATGGGGTAGTAACTCTTATCCTTTGAGCTGGTTGTGAATTTAAGCAAGGACTTGCACGTACCCTGGCAACTTGTAGTACCTGATTTGCTCAACAGGGTGAGAACAAAATCATAGAATACTTTGTTAGAAAGGGACCATTAAGATCATCCAGTTCCAGCCCCTCTGCTATAGGTAGGGATACCTCCCACTAGAGCGGGTTGCTCACAGCCTCATCCAACCTAGCCTTGAATGCTTCCAGGGAGAGGGCATCCACAAGCTCTCTGTGCAACCTGTTCCAGTGCCTCACCACCTTCACAGTAAATAATTCCTTCCTAATATCTAGTCTGAATCTACCCTCTTTCAGTCTAAAAACCATTCCCCCATGTCCTGTCACTACATGTCCTTAAAGATTCTTTCCCAGCTTCCCTTTAGGCCCCCTTCAGGTACTGGAAGGCTGCTCTAAGGTCTCCTCAGAATCTTTTCTTATCCAGGCTGAAAAGCCAACTCTCTCAGCCTGTCCCTGTAAGGGAGGTCCTCCAGCCCTCTGGTCATCTTCATGGCCCTCTTCTGGACCTATTCCAACATCTTGATGTCCTTCTTGTGCTGGGGGCCACAGAACTGGGAGCAGTACTCCAGGAGGAGTGTCACAAGAGCAGAGTAGAGGGGCAGAATCACTTCGCTCTACCTGCTGTTCACACTTCTCTTGATGGAAGCCAGGATACAATTGGCCTTCTGGGCTTCAAGTGTGCATTGCTGGCTCGTGCTGAGTCTTTCATCAACTGGCACCCCAAATTCTTCTCATGTCATTCTCATTCCAGCCTGTATTTGTGCTTGGGATTGCTCTGAGCCAGGTGCATAACCTTGCACTTGACCTTGTTGAACTTCAAAAGGTTGGCATGGGCCCACCTCTCGAGCCTTTCCAGATCCTTCTGGTTGATATGCCTTCCCACTAGCATGTGAACTGCACCTCTCAGCTTGGTGTCATTTGTAAACTTGCTGAGGGTCGATACCACTGTCCATGTCACCTACAAGGATGTTAAATAACACTG